GTCTATCCTGATAACGCTAGTATAACACATCTTCCATCAGTTTATACAGGTCTATCCTGATAACGCTAGTATAACACATCTTCCATCACTTTATACAGGTCTATCCTGATAACGCTAGTATAGCACATCTTCCATCAGTTTATACAGGTCTATCCCGATAACGCTAGTATAACACATCTTCCATCAGTTTATACAGGTCTATCCCGATAACGCTAGTATAACACATCTTCCATCAGTTTATACAGGTTTATCCTGATAACGCTAGTAACGCTGAGTTTATTCAGAATAAAACTTTAAATACTGTTTCTATGGATATAAGTATTTGTAAGAATTATCAATATCTGACTTAACAGGATTTTAGAATACATCTTTTAGTTAATCACAATGGGCCTATGATAGACACGTTACTGAAAAACATTATATGTTTTGTAGTTTGCCGTTCATAGAGTATCAACTGAAAATACATTGAATTGTAACCATTTGATATCGTAACATTTTCAAAGCATAACTTTGACACTAAAGGTTTAATATTAATCACTAGTTCAACTTATGTATTTATTTTACCCAATAAACTCTTTGTTAGTCGCTATATCATAGCTACACATTATAATGAAACAACAAGTCTTTGTTGAGGGAATATCATCTGATCTCGCGTAAACAAAAAAAAACGTGATTTACCGATACTTGTTTTGTTTAACAACAATGGTATTATAGGGTTGTTTTCTTGGTATACAAATATTTGTACATAGTTGTTAATCTTAAGATGGTTAAAGATTATAAGAATTATTTTCTTCTGATGGACCAACGTTCATTTCTTCTTTCCGTTTTCTAATTTTTTAGTTCCTTAGACACTCCATTTATAAGAACTACCAAACACGTTCCTTTAAAAATCCTGACGCTTTAATTATTTCAGTTAATTGTTAAGTATGACAAACAATTAGTAGTTGTTAAATGTTTCATGTTTTCACAAGAAGTTCACCAGTACTAGACTGTCTACTTAATTCTAATCAAGTTCTTAATCGACAAGATCTCTTTGATTTGTAAAAAAAAAAAGTCATTTTTGGCAATTCTAATAATTTAAAAGTCTCCAAAAGTCACTGCAATCTAACACATGTTTAAAAATATCCAACACTTCTGCATATCTTGGTAAACTGTGAGCCTTATTCTATCAGTCAGTCTTCTTCAAGTAGATTCTGGTTGTTATATGTACATTCTATGAATGTTTAAAGACAAATAATTGTTATACACTCTTCCCAAAACCTATCATCATCTGTCTTATCACTGTGTAAACCACCAAATAAAACATTATAGACCATTCATATATATTATACTCAAAAATGATTACATTTATTTAGCCACATGTGTATCGTTTTAT